TATTTGAGAGAGCGAGAATGAGAGAGAGTACATGAGAGGGGGGAGGGTCAGAGGGGGAAGCAGGCTCCTCGCTGAGCAGGGAGCCCGATGCGGGACTTGACCCCGGGACTCCAGGATCATGACCTGAGCCAAAGGCAGTTGCTTAACCAACTGAGCCACCCAGGCGCCCGCCTGGTACTGTTCTTACTGCTTGAGAAACAGCATTAAACAAGTCTCTGCCCTTATGGAACTTCTAGTCTACTGAAGAGTCAAGAATTAGTTTAAACAAATGAAAAATTATAACTGTGATAAGTACTTTGAAAAATTGCTTATAGTTTGAGAAAGTACTTTGAAAAATGGTTTATAGTCTGAGAATGTCTGATAGTGGGCTTTTACCTATTCAGGGAGGTCAGTCAAAGCTTCCCTGAGGACACTGTGATTGAACTGGGATCTGAAGAATGAAAAAAGAATTAACTTGAAGTTACTGGTCTTGAATGTAATTTCTTTCTCTAGGCCTTCTACGGCCTCCTAATCTGAATGAAGTGCCCTTTCAAAATGGACCCCATATCATCCTTTGTAAGAGAAAAAAATTTTTAACGAAGTGATTGTTTTTCCCACTAGACTATTGACCCAAAGCTGGGACTGTTTTATTCACCTTGGAAGTATCAGTCATATTACCTGACAATAATAGTCACTCGGTAGTTAAGTAATTCTACTGCTCCCTCTGTCTTTGTCTTATAATAAAGCTGGGATGTGCCCTACCTACCTCTCCATTATTGAAAGACATAGTAATATAATGTATACAAAAGTCAGAAAAGTAAGGTAATATCCAGAATTGTTTAGTGTCACAGAACCCAAGAAGGCCCAAGTATCCAGGAGTAAATAAAAATAAATCAGGTGTAGGGTGCCTGGGTGGCTCAGTCAGTTAAGTGTCTGCCTTCTGCTCAGGTTATGATCTCAAGGTCCTGGGATCAAGTCCCGTGTCCAGGTCCCAGCTCAGGGAGCCTGCTTCTCTCTCTCCCTCTGCCTGCCGCTCGCTTTCTCATTCCCTCTCTCTCTCTGTCAAATAAAATCTTAAAAAAAAAAAAAGAAATCAGGTGTAAGCAGTACTGTCTCGGAGAACAAAGAAAGAAAAAGCCATTGGATTTAGCAAGAAGTTTTACTTATTCATCTTGTTTGAAGGAATTTGTTCAATTTGTGAAACATATTAAAAATGTTTTCTGAAGTTAAATATCTGGTGTTAACTTTAAAATTGCTTTATCACGAAAAGTAAAAGGAATATGTAAATGGATACCTTCTTGGAAAAAAGGTGTATCCAAGTGTGTGTGTATAGGATGTTGTCAAACATGCTTTGAAGGAAGGGAGAAAGAAGAAAAGTAGATGCAAGAAAAAGACTGGAGGGAAATGACAGGATTGTTAAATGATAGGGCTCTGGGTGCTATTTTTCCCCTTTGTGCTTTTCTGTATTTTGCACTTTCCTGTTCTCAGGTTTTTAAATTTAATGAACCTATATTACTTGCATAATGAAACAGTAAACAAAGTAACATTTCATAAAACCGAGAATTGATTATGAGTTAGAGCAGAACATACAGTTATGCCTTCTATATGTAGAAGACTCAAAACTATATCTTAGATTTTTCTTTTACTTGCCTAAATTTGCTTACCGTTCTAGTACATTAATGTTAAAGGCCAGTTGAATCTTTGTTTATATGTCCATCTGCACTTCTGGCGCCAGAGCACTTTAAGGGTGGAGATCGTTCTCTTTGTATCTCTGTCATCCCAGCAGTGACATGTATTTGTTGAATGAAGAACTTAAAACTGAAATGTCTTGACCTTTTTATTACCTTTAATCTATGTACCTTTCTTTTTTCAGAACCCAGGAGTGAAAACCACAATGAATGGTCATATTTCTAATCATCCCAGTGGTTTTGGAATGTATCCAGCTCAAATGAAGTAAGTTGGAAGGTTTATATTTAATTTGTTGGGGTTCTTTTTTTTTTAAGATTTATTTATTTATTTTAAAGAGACAGACAGAGTGCATGAGTGGGGGGTGGGGCAGAGGGCGAGGGAGAGAACCTTAAGCAGATTCTGCTCTGAGTGCAGAGCTCCATGTGAGGCTCCATCCCATGACCCCGAGATCATGACCTAAGTCGAAATCAAGAGTTGGAAGCCCAACCGACTGAGCCACCCCGGCGCCCCTGTTGGGGTTCTTTTTAGATTTGATTTGATGGCTTTGTTTTGTATTTTTACTGAAAAGATTAATTCCAATTCTTTATGTAGTTTATTCTTCATTAATACATAATTTCTTTCTAATTCTAATTTAAAAGTTTACTGTGTCTGGAAAGAAAAAGATGGTTAGGTAATATCCTCCTCTGTGACAGTGATCTAATAGAAGACAGTTTGTTCTGGTATTTTATGTATTATTTCTTTACTTCAGAGGTTTCAGTTTCTCTGGAGCATTCTATTATATTTTTATTTATAAAATACTGGCATCTGAGGAGAGTTATATGTCTTCTAGTCCAGTCTGTCAAGCTACTTATCGGTGTGTAAAACAAATAAAAAGATCAGGCAAGCAAACAAAACAATCCCTGTGGCCCCAGGTATAACTTGAAATCACGTCCCTGACATAAGTTGCTGTTTCCTTATACAGTGTGGTTAATATTGTAGTTATTTTATATTGGCCATTGTGGTACAGAGTTCGCTCATCATTTTTTAGAATTCATAGGTTATTCACATTGTAAAGAGTTATACTTCATCTTTTTTCTTTACAAAGATCAATGCAAATCTCTTTAGTATTTGTCAGTAAGAGACACCTGGGGAGTATTGTCTGGTGCTGTCTTTATCTTGTCCATCAGTTATTCAAGCCAGAAAATTTGGCCACACTCTCAATCTTCCTCCCTTTTCTTACAATAAATATCCACGGGCGCCTGGGTGGCTCAGTCGTTAAGCGACTGCCTTGGGCTCAGGTCATGATCCTGGAGTCCCGGGATCGAGTCCCGCATCGGGCTCCCTGCTCGGCGGGGAATCTGCTTCTCCCTCTGACCCTCCTCCCTCTCATGCTCTCTGTCTCTCATTCTCTCTGTCTTAAATAAATAAATAAAATCTTTAAAAAAA